TAGGGTTCAGGGTTTAGGGTTACTTCTTATCGAGTTTAAGTACCCATAAAAAGCCAAATGTTACCCAACGGTGACAAAGCAAAGTTATTGAGGTTCCTTGAGTATGGCGAAACCTGTCGGGTGCAGTTGCAGTTCTTGACCCAGAGAGCCCAATACTCCTGAATTAAGGAGTAAGCCCCTTACAGTTTAAGGTGCATCGCACCCATTAGCTCGACTGGGCTCTCTGGGTAATTATCGGCCCTCCAAGCACCGGTATGCAGGGTTGTGGCTTGAAGCCTAAAGGGCTTGTAAGGGTTTACGGTTTAGGGTAGGGGCCTTACCCCCAAATAGTGTAGGTAATTATTTGGGCCCGTTAGTATAGCTTTAAGACACCATTCGGAAGTATCTGTCCTCTCTACACATTTATTTATGCAGTATGAACCCACACTGTCAGGCAATGATCTATGCACTTTCGATGCAAAGGTGTATGTGGCTGTGTAAAATCGGTGGCACAGTGGCTACAAGTTCGCAGGGACACGTAGTAAGCCTGCATGATTCAATGTCATTCCCGTGTAGTCCTGATATAACTATACGATAATATAACCCCAAACCCGCCCAAACCTAATTTCAGTTATTAAGGCACCTATATTAAACTCACATGAGCCCCTATAGTGACCCTTATAGGAACCCTTTAAAACACCCTATTCTTATTCCTTTAAAAAAACAAACCCCACACCCTAGACCCTAAAATCTCAAAGGCCCCTGCACTACTTGGAGGGTCGGGGGACGTAGTAAGTAGTTATTTTGTAGAGTCATAAGTATCATAACCGCAATTAGGATCCCTATTAGGGTACTTATAAGTCTACTTACTACCCACTTACTTTGTCCCCCGACCCTCCAAGTATAGTCCCTTCCCCTGGGTCCCCACCTGCTGAGCTGGAGGAGCCGCTCCCGCCCGAGCTTCCGCCTCCTCCGAAGTGGCCGCCGTGGCCGTGGACGCTGCACCTGGGCTCTTCGGTTTAGGGCTTATAGGGTTTAGGGTTCAGCACCTGGGTTCTTCGGTTTAGGGTTTAGGGTTCAGCGGTTTAGGATTTAGGGCGTTCGCCCTAAACCCGACTTAAGCAACTGGAATGCTTGATAAGGAGTTTAACTGAAGTTGCGATATTTAATAAGGAGGCCATGTTGGTTGCTACAGGTCTCTATTGTGGTGACGTAAAATAAATAAGTGGCTTAACAGGACCCAGGCACTGGATGACAAGATGAAGGCCCCAACCGGCGTTGGCATCGGTGCGGTGGGCACAGATCCTTAGCAGCACAAACCCTACAGGGCCCATGTAGCCAAACAATATACACTGTAGGCTCAAGTATCTATAGAGGGACTACTTTAAAGACAGAGTATGTACTATATATGAGCACATGGACCCTTGGGGACGTGCCAAGACATGCACAAACCTCGGAAGGGTACCGTGGCACATCCTGGAGCCTTCCATCTTTTAGCAAAGACTCTGGCCGCCGTCATGGTAGATATGGAAGCTGTCCGGGTACTCCTCGGCGGCTTCTCACTCGCAAA